TTATATATTTATGCATGTGTGTATATACACAGCATTTTTCTGAACCATTTGAGAATAAGTTATATATATCTCATTTGAGAATAAGTTATATACATATATGTAATATATATATATATATAATATATACCTATAATATTAGGTATATTAAAACCAAGAGCAATATTATCTTTCACAATTATAGTGTCAGATTTAGCAAATAAAAATACAGGACACTCTGAGCAAATTCCAACAGAAATTAAAGCTTCTGGAGCTTTCCCTGACTAGAACTATTATACTCCCTCTTCCGGACAGACTTAAAAACTGTTCTTGGATTTGATAAATTCTGGGTCTCCTTGTTTACCCCTCAATTCCTAAGTCATAAGCTGAAGACTCTGGGCAAGCTTTCTGATAACCAGTTTGTGTCATGATCTTGCTGATAAAAGGGAGGGCTGATTGGCTCTGGTATTGAATTAACACTTGTATTTCTCCTGTCTTTTATACTTACACTATATAATTCCATCTCTTGAAAGTTACATTATTTAGTAGTGTTTCTCAGAATTGAATTAAATTGAATAAGAATTGTCTTACAAAAACCACTGCTTATCAAATTTCATATGCATATAAATCATCATTTGATCTTGTTAAAATGTAGATTTTGACTCAGAATCTAAGAAATTTTGTATTTCCTAATAAGCTCCCTGAGGACATGAATACACTGGTCCTATCACACTTTGAGTAGCAAGATTATGGCCCTCTATGTCACAATAGATGTTTGTCAAATCCCAATTCCGATGTACTGATTTAATCTCTGGGGCAGTGTCCAGGAATATACGTTTTAAACAAATTCCTAGGGAGATTTGAGAACCAATGGTATATCAGTTTAAAATGCCCTCTATCTTTTTCTCTACTTATTAATTTTTGCTTCTCAAAGACCGGGCTGGTTCCTCCTGCAGCTTGCTGCTTTTAATAACCACCTCAGGCTCTGAATTCTTTAACAGTTATCTGCAGCAAGCATTTGCCGTTTATCATGAGCTACCTTTTCTTGCATAGATCACGACACCCTAGATAGATTTTATTTTTTTGAAATGGATAATTGTTATATACGCCCTTGTAGCCTCAGGTCCTAGCATAATGCTTAGCACAGAGTAAATGTTCAATTAATGCTTGTCATGGACAATAATAGAGATGATGGTGAACAATGAATTTTTCTCCAGGACACATAATTGTTTCCCAGGCCTTACGTGATTAAAAGAACCTACTGACTCCATTAAAGGAAACACCCAATTGCTTAGCAAAAACTGTAACTACAAACTATGGTATGTAATTTTTCAGAAGTTGGCACTACGATCCATTTGCACCTTGGTAGTTTGGATTTTATTATGGCCAATGGCACTTCGAAGGAAAGAAAGTAATACTTTGAATTTATTATGTCTTTTATCTGTGAACCTCAAAGCACTCTAAAGCCATTTATTAGGTTACTGTAGCCATCGTGTGAATATCATTACGCCCTTCTTGCAAAAAAAAAGCTGACTAGGGAAAGAGTTGTAAGATACTGGTCAAAATCATAGTCATTGTAAAGAGACCAAGCCAGGAAACTCGGGAGCAAATGAGTGACAGGTAAGCACTTCTCAGCTTCTCCCAGACCTCAAGTGACTTGAAAGGTGAACATTCCATAGAAGAGAGGAGGCCAAAATTAAAAAAAAATTAAACTATCTCAATAATCTTTCTTCTTTGTCTGTATTCCAATCGTTATTGCTCTTTGTACCTTTTATTGTTATCTGTGGTTAAATACCGACCCATCTTTCCTCCTTCACAACTTCCTCTTTTTCAGTCATCTTGTTCTATCTCTTAGTCCACTGTAGCAGCAGAGCGAAAAGAACTGCCAGCTGAGGAGCTCTGAAACCAGGTTAGAAGCCTGATTCCATCACTTACGAACTTCGCCTCTGAAAAAGTCGGTTCACTCTCAGAGGCAGTTTACTCTTTGTGTGTAAAATGGGAATGGATCTCGCCCACCTACCTCACAGGAGGATTGAAGCGATAGAACGCGATTCGTAAACTGTAAAGCACTAAGTGGATACAAGTTGTCACCTTACAGAATAAGTCCATGTTTCGTTTAATTTAAGCCCAGGACCACAAGACGCAGAGTAACTAACAGGTACAGGGCGTGTTCGTAGGGAACAGCCTTAGGCGAGATCTTTTTCCTTGGAGGAAAAGGAGGGTGCAGAGCTGCTGGGAGTCGTAGTCCTTGCGGCGGTCTCCGCAGACCTTGGGGGGAAAAAAGAACTACAGCTCCCGTAGGGCTGTGCGGGACAGCCCCCGCTCACCCTCCCGCCAGGCGCGTGCCCCAAGGCGAAAGTGGAGGGCGACTTGCTCGCGCGCTGCGAGTGCTGAGGTGGGGGGCTTATGGTGGAGGTCTCGAGAAAAAGAGACGTGTGGGAATGTGTGGGGATTGTAACAAGGATAAAAACCGTGGCAAAAGGCAAATTAAAAAAACCCAAAACAGCCGTGCCCCATTTCTTCCCCACCCTGGCAGATCCTAACTCCCGCAACCGCTGAGACGTCGGGAACACTCCCTACCTCGCGCTTCACGCCCTGGAGGCTTAAGTCAGAGAGGCGGAAAGGGGCGGAGCCAGCGGCGCGGGGGCGGGGCCTAAGGTGGTCAAGGCGGAGGCGGCGGCGGCAGAGGCCACGGCCACGACCCAGACATCTGGGACTGTTGTTCTCTCGCTGTGGGACCGCCTCAGTGTATTCCTCCAGAGAGAGACCAGGAGCTGGTCTGGTGGGGAGCGGGCGGCCGCATATTCCCTTTCTCCTGCTTCCGGCACACACATCCTGCGGTCGGTCTCTGATGCCCTTCAGTGAGGAAGGGGCATCGGGACCCTGGTGAGAGCACCTCAGGCCCTCCCAAATCGGTGTCTTCGTCGGCTCCCCAGGCTCGCACACCCCAGCCTGGCTGCCATGGCTGAAAACGCAGAAGGGGATTTGAACTCCAACCTGCTCCACGCCCCCTACCACACCGGGGACCCTCAGCTAGACACGGCCATCGGGCAGTGGCTCCGCTGGGATAAGGTGGGTACCTGGTCAGCTCCGCATCCATCCCCTTCCGCATGCCCTCCCACACACAGTCCGCCCTTGCCCGTCCCCACCCGGTGCTCAGCAGGCTGCAGAGAAGATGGTTGAGGCCACCGGGCGGGAGCCATCGTAGCCGGGCGTTGCCCCCTACCTATGCTTGGGCTGCCTCCCTGGGGACCGTTTGAGATGAGCAGGGACGCCTTATAGTCGCTTCCTTTCGCAGTGCGCGAAATTGCAACCTCCCTCCCGACCCTCCTTTCACATGCATGTCATTTCTCTCTCAAAATAATAATAATAATAATAATAATAATAATAATAATA